GAGGTGGCTTAAATTGGGAACATGAGGCTTTGTTGCAGCCGCAGAGAGAGATCGGTTCATGGTCGGGGGAATGAAGCCTGAGAAAAGTTTACGTAAAAATCAGGGGCTTGTCGCCTGTGTTTTAGGTTCGGGCTCGGCCAGGCTCGGAGTTAGTTGAGCACAAAGACCTTGAGCATCTTAGAAGTGCGGGTGTTTGCTGAGAGCTGGGGTGCATTTCGGGAGCGGGAGGAAGCATGTTTGCGGTGTCCAGCGTCGCTGGAGCAGGAGGTTTAGTTAAACGGGGGAGCGGAGCAACCTGGGGAGCGCGGGGCGAGGGGAGCAGGTGCCCGACCTGCGCATCCTGGAAAACAGGCAGCCCCGTCGTGCCGGAAAAGTTGTTTGGTGTGTTTGGTTTAGTTTGTCCAAGGTAGCTCCGCTCTCTCTTTTCCTGGGATGAAAAGGAAGGTCTTTGCCAAAGAAACGGTGCCACAGGAGCTAGCCGCTTGCGGTGGCGATATCCTCATTAGCCGAGCCTTTCTTTGAGAGCTTCTCCGCCGTACATGTGCTCTTCTGCGCCTGGCGACTCCGTAGTTGGCAGGCTCGGGGAGTGCGCGTGTGGCAGCCTACACGCACAGTTGGGGATTTTTTTATTGGTTTGTTTTAGTAAGAGCTGAAGTAGGAACATTAAATGTTTTATAAGGACAATGTATCTGGAGAACCGATTCCTTTTTTGAATCTCCAAATGTATATGTGGTCAGCGCCTTCCCTCATTTACAAGAATTTTATTTTTGCTTCATTCTGTAGTTCAGTTTTATATCGGACTAGTGGCATTTTTGCTTCACTCAACATCTCTGCATTTATTGAAATTAGGATATTTGAACTCACTCTCTTCTGTTTCTTGTTAACAATTCTGTTTATGAAAGCTGCCAACATTTTATGTATTTTTTCCTAAAATGACTGTTTTGCTGCTGGAGTTGGTGCTGTGTTTCTTTATGGTAATATCAAATTATAAAATATTTTCCAAAGCCTCATATTGAGCAAAGGAAATAGTTATTAAAACAGAGGTTGGACCATTGTTGGTTTATCCTGAAGTTGATTCTTTTGTGATGTCTTGAGATCTCCAATGGTGATTTTCTGGGCTTTTTAAATTTGGTTTTGTACCAAGCAGGCAACTTTACCTTTCGTATGAATGAATGTGGTAATGGTGCAGATCTCTTCTCTGATTTTCTTGAGCTGTCTCAAATCTGATGCTTTTATTTCACTGAGATGTTCGACTTTGCTTTTGAGCAGTCTTTCATTATGTTACAGTTTTGAGACAGAACTGAAGGATTTTGTTTAATGGAGACATTACTTAAAATCATCTTGATGTAGCATTTAAAAAGACCCACAAAATCACAGGTGATCACTTAACACTGTAGCTTTTCAAAATGTTTGTATTGCTTCATTGCACATTGTGTTTTGCTTTCTTTATCCATTGTTTATTGCTTTACAGTACAGTGAGCAGGTGTTAAACCTGCTAAAGAAAAATGCTTTTTATTAATACTATATGTTGGCATATTTGTGAATTATGTGTACAAATATATTTTTATTTCTCTTTCTCAAACCTCCTTTGAAATTCAAGAGAGATTTTTTTTGTAGTTGATTTTTTTTTTTACGCTGTAGTAGCAGAAGCCCATAGTGTTGTTGAGAGCTTTGTCCTTATTTCACAGATGCACTGGGAATTGTTTTTAATCTCCTTTCTGCTTTCCCATTACAGATGGTGATGACGACCCACAACTCTCCTGGGTGGCTTCATCTCCCTCCAGCAAAGATGTTGCATCACCCACTCAGATGATAGGAGATGGGTGTGATCTCGGCATCGGGGAGGAGGAAGGGGGGACTGGCCTGCCGTATCCCTGTCAGTTTTGTGATAAGTCCTTCATTCGCCTGAGCTACCTTAAAAGGCACGAGCAGATCCACAGTGACAAACTACCTTTCAAATGCACCTACTGTAGCCGGCTTTTTAAGCACAAGAGAAGTAGGGATCGCCACATAAAGCTTCACACAGGGGATAAAAAGTACCATTGCCATGAATGCGAGGCTGCGTTCTCTCGCAGTGATCACCTCAAAATTCACCTGAAAACCCACAGCTCCAGCAAACCGTTCAAGTGTACTGTGTGTAAACGTGGGTTTTCATCTACCAGCTCATTGCAGAGTCACATGCAAGCTCATAAAAAGAACAAGGAACATATGGCAAAGACTGAGAAAGAGGTGAAGAAGGATGATTTTATGTGTGATTACTGTGAAGAGACATTCAGTCAGACTGAAGATTTGGAGAAGCACGTAATGACACGCCACCCACAGCTTTCCGAGAAGGCAGATTTGCAGTGTATTCATTGCCCTGAAGTATTTGCAGACGAAAACTCGCTGCTCTCACACATTCATCAAGCCCATGCCAACAAAAAACACAAGTGCCCTATGTGCCCGGAGCAGTTTTCTTCAGTGGAGGAAGTCTATTGCCACTTGGACAGCCACAGACAACCTGACTCCAGCAATCACAGCATCAGCCCTGACCCAGTCTTGGGGAGTGTGGCGTCCATGAGCAGCGCAACGCCTGACTCCAGCGCGTCGGTGGAAAGAGGTTCCACCCCAGATTCGACCTTAAAGCCTTTGAGAGGACAAAAGAAAATCAGGTCTCTGGACAGAGAGGAAGGCCAGAACTGGTCTAAAGTTACTTACAGCTGTCCGTACTGCTCAAAGCGTGACTTCAACAGCCTTGCTGTTCTGGAGATCCACCTGAAGACCATTCATGCAGACAAACCTCAGCAAAGCCACACGTGCCAGATCTGCCTTGATTCCATGCCTACACTGTACAACTTGAATGAACACGTGAGAAAGGTGCACAAAAACCATGCCTATCCCATGATGCAGTTTAGCAACATTTCTGCCTTTCACTGTAACTACTGCCCGGAGATGTTTGCGGATATCAATAGCTTACAAGAACACATCCGAATTACTCACTGTGGCCCAAACGCTACCCCTCAAGATGGCAACAACGCTTTCTTCTGTAACCAGTGCTCCATGGGATTTCTGACCGAAGCAACCTTGACTGAGCATATTCAGCAGACTCACTGCAATGTAGGAAATTCAAAATTGGATTCCCCTGTCATTCAGCCAACACAGTCTTTTATGGAAGTTTATTCATGCCCTTATTGCACAAACTCCCCCATTTTTGGCTCCATCCTGAAGCTTACAAAGCATATTAAAGAAAACCACAAGAACATTCCTCTGGCACACAATAAGAAGTCAAAAGCAGAGCAGAGTCCAGTTTCTTCTGATGTTGAAGTCTCTTCCCCTAAAAGGCAACGGCTTTCTGCTAGTGTAAACTCAGTGTCTAATGGTGAATACCCATGTAATCAGTGTGATCTAAAGTTCTCAAATTTTGAAAGTTTTCAAACCCATTTAAAGTTGCATTTGGAGTTGCTGTTGAGGAAACAGTCTTGCCCTCAGTGTAAAGAAGACTTTGATTCCCAGGAGTCTCTTCTGCAACATCTCACCGTCCATTATATGACAACTTCAACTCATTATGTATGTGAGAGCTGTGACAAACAGTTTTCTTCGGTGGATGATTTGCAGAAGCATTTGTTGGACATGCATACTTTTGTGCTGTATCACTGCACCCTTTGCCAAGAAGTTTTTGATTCCAAGGTATCTATCCAAGTGCATCTGGCAGTCAAGCATAGCAATGAAAAGAAGATGTATCGTTGCACAGCCTGTAACTGGGATTTTAGGAAGGAGGTGGATCTCCAGATCCATGTGAAGCATAGTCACTTAGGGAATCCATCAAAGTCTCACAAATGCATCTTCTGTGGTGAGACCTTTAGCACAGAGGTAGAACTGCAGTGCCACATCACAACCCACAGCAAAAAATACAACTGCAAGTTTTGTAGCAAAGCTTTTCATGCCATCATCTTGCTTGAAAAGCACTTGCGAGAAAAACATTGTGTTTTTGATGCTAGCGCTGAGAATGGTACAGCTAATGGCATGACCCCAACAAATAAGAAGACAGAAGGGGCAGATATCCAGAACATGTTAATGAAGAATCCAGATACTTCCAACAGTCATGAAGCCAGTGAGGATGATGTAGATGCTTCTGAGCCCATGTATGGCTGTGACATTTGTGGGGCTGCCTACACTATGGAGGTCCTCTTGCAGAACCATCGTTTGAGAGATCATAACATCAGGCCTGGGGAGGATGACTGTTCTAGGAAGAAAGCAGAATTCATCAAAGGTAGCCACAAGTGTAATATCTGCTCAAGGACCTTTTTCTCAGAAAATGGCCTGAGAGAGCACATGCAGACCCATCGAGGCCCAGCTAAGCACTACATGTGCCCCATTTGTGGGGAACGCTTCCCATCACTCCTGACCCTGACGGAGCACAAAGTCACTCACAGCAAGAGTTTGGATACAGGGACATGTCGGATCTGCAAAATGCCGCTGCAGAGTGAGGAGGAATTTATCGAGCACTGCCAGATGCATCCAGATCTCAGAAACTCCCTCACCGGGTTTCGCTGTGTTGTCTGCATGCAGACGGTCACCTCTACCCTTGAGCTGAAAATTCACGGGACGTTCCATATGCAGAAATTGGCAGGAAACTCTGCAACCTCGTCGCCCAATGGCCAGGCCTTGCAAAAACTCTACAAGTGTGCGTTGTGCTTGAAGGAGTTCCGGAATAAGCAGGACTTGGTAAAGTTGGATGTGAACGGCCTTCCCTATGGCCTGTGTGCTGGATGCATGACCAGGAGCACCAATGGACAGTCTTCGGGCTTGACTCCACAGGAGATGACCGAGAGACCGTGTGGCAGTCTGAGGTGTCCAGAGTGTAGTGTCAAATTTGAAAGTGCGGAAGACCTAGAGAGCCACATTCAGGTAGACCACCGAGACCTGACGCCTGAGACTAGTGGCCAAAGGAAAGGTACCCAGACGTCCCCTGTTCCCAGAGTAAGTACAGCTGAACTGTAAAATGTCTGAGGGATAAAATGTAGACCTTCAATGTGACTGAGAACTGATATGATGTTATTTTTTTTCAAACTTCACTTTATAAAATTACTTGTGCTACTAAAAAAACCAACAAAACAGGAGGAAAGGTAGAGTAACGCACATAGAAAGATTAGATGTTGCTCAGCCTTGGAGGCTCCTTGATTCCTAGTGGCAGCGCATCAGATTTTTTATCATAAAACTGCCCTAGATTTACAGATTCAAGCTGAGACACTTGAATGGTGGGGATTGGGTTTGTCCATGAATTCTGATGCTACTGAACTGGCAGATCTGGAAAAGGTGGGGCACTTCCATGAAAAAAAGAGATGCTGAGTACCCAAAACAAAACAAAATCTGGTCTGTCATACCTGAGGAATGAGATTATTTCTTACCAGGGAACTAAACATGAGCAGGAGGATAAAGGAACTTTTGAGGAAAAATGTAGCGAATTCCACCCTACCCCCAGATTCTCACCTAAAACAAATTTCTGTGCTAAAGAGCTTGTCCTATGGATGTCTGTCAGAGTGAACGTTGTGAGGCTACTTGGATGTCTGTGTGCATACATGTGTGCCTGTGTGTGTGTTTGTGTATGATTTTAAAAGTTATTTTAAAAGGATCTGCTTCATGGCCCTCCTGTAAGATAAGTAGTTTTCTTAGCAGATCTGGAAATTGTTGTCTAATGCAGGTTACATATAGGTGTGCTCTCCTTTAATGTTCACAGATAGCCTACTTTTCCATTTCTTAGCTTAAAAGATACTTGGGAACATGCAGATCCAAGTAAGGTTTCAGAAGCCTACTCAGGAGATTAATATCATTTGCAGTTTATAATCTTTTAAAATTATTTGTTGACGTTTTGGTTCAAGAATGGGCCAAGTCAGTCCTTCCTCTGTCAGGAACAGATGGAATGAGAAGTAGATTTTGGAAATCTTCTCAGGAGACCAACAGCAGACACATCTGAGTATTGATATCATCTGACATTTTTAATTAAACATGATGGGGTGAGATTTTCAAAAGTATCTAAGGAAATTAGGCACCCAACTCCTAATGAATAATTCCAGCTGTAGATGCCTGTTTATGTCAATCTGCTAATTAAAGCACCCACAAACACCTCTTACTGCATTAAAAGAACCTGAAAATACCATTCAACTAGAACACCAGAGGCTCAGTAAGTAAGAGAAGACCCTAAGTACGTCCTGAGGACGCAGACTTGAGGTGCCTCCAACAGAGCCGGCGCAGGCTGTGTCCCCAGCGGGACTTGTTAGCTCTGGCTCAGCGCCGGGGCGTGCGGGGCAGCAGCGTCTCGCTGAGCTGGGCTGTGCACGGCCCGGTCGGAGCACGGCACTGCCTGCCCTGGCACCCGCTGGCCTTAATGCCTTGTCCAGGCTTCTGAGCGAATCCCATTGCAAGTTTAATTTCTTTTTTTTTTTTTGCTTTTTTAGTAAAACAACTGGATATTGTTCCCTCTGGGTGCGGTCAATGTGTGACTAAGCCTCCAGGCACACACACCTAATTCTGCAGAAGAATGAGGAATGGAAATATCCCTCCTTCGGTGTGATACCTTTTGAGACTTCGGCTGGGGCTCTGGCTAGCTCATTCTCCTTCCTCCTCCTCAGGCCTTTATTTCCTTCTAAATTCCTTAAAATACCTCTGTTCTCTTAAGTAGGACTAATTCTTACTTCATATAGCTGTGCCTGTAGCCTAAAGTATTACCTTTTCTTTCCTATCGACTGTCAGAAGCAGAATACATTGCCATTTTCTGCTCTTATTTCTTGCTTTAACTCTTTCTTTTCAGTGACAGCTTCCATACTTGCTCTCTCAGGGGAGAGTTTTAAGTTCTTCAATAAGGTAAATGCTTTGAATTTCATTCCATGAAGAGAGGTCTTGGTTCCTTTGTAGAAGATAATGAAAAATCAGCATTTGTGATGATGGCAAATGGTACCTTCAACAGGTGTCTATGGCCTGCACATAGGCTGATATCGGAGACCTTTATGTTATGCATCCCAGGAATAGATATATTGTTAATTAGGAATAATTAATAATCTTACCCTTCATTATAGGTACAAGACCTGAATTCTGATATCAGTTCATGTGGAAACTATTGGTGTTTCTCTCAGGTTTCTCAGGGCAATGAGTGCCCTTTGTGTCTGCCTAGCACAGGGGTTTTCAAAGAATTACACTGTCTTTTAAACGGTGATAAAACCCTGTATTTCAAGAATAGCATTTACTTAACTTCACTGGCTTCATAGCAAAGCTAAGCAAGCTGAACACGATCTCTCTTGTCATTTGTTAACATGCTGCACACAGGTAAAATACCATTTTACTGGAGCAATCTTAAGTGCACAATGCATGTAGAGTAATCTGCAGATGTCCAGAGAAAAGCTGATTCTCTCCAATTCTTGAGCACTTCTACATTTCTTTTTTAAACACCTTATTGATTTTTCTTTCTTAAACAGAAAAGCAGTTGAAGATTAGGACAAGGTACAATCAGAAAGAAAATATAGGGAGATTAGATTTTAAGTAGTGGGTATGTATTTCAGAGTAAATAAGAATAAGCAGAATGAAATCCAAGAAAATGGAAAAGATGACGATGACATACAAAATCCGTAACTTCTTTCAATGTTGGAAAGCGCTCCACCAGCAGTTATACTTCTTGAATTGAAGAAGTGAGCATGGAAGCCTAAAGGATTTTCAGAGAAAAACTTAAATGAAGATTTAACCCCAAAGTGAAAGAAAGGAAGAAAATAAATATTAGCTCTTGATGAATAAAAAATGAAAATATTTGGGAAGAAAAAAAGATAGAGCAGGAGAAAAAGAACAATTCCATTTTATTGTATGAAGTTTGTGTATATATGCACATGGATAAAGCACCACAAAGGGAGTATGAATATTTTGTTATATTTTGTTTGCGTTTTTTACTATTGAATTTTTGGAGGTTTTGTTCTGAAAATCAGTTGGAGACAGCTAGATGAGGATCAAAAAGCACTCAGAATTGCTTGGCAGTTTTGGGGTTTGTGGTTTTTTTATCCATAAGAATGAAAGAAAGCACATAACCCTTGAAAATGCTGCTGTATTCTGTCTTCCTCACTTACATTTTAGTATGGCGAACAACCAGGAGAAAATATCTGTGAATTGATCACCTTTGTTTCTAGGGCGTCTAACTAGGATACAATCATGATGGTCAACAAAGATAGATTTCCAGACAAAGTGTTTGCTTTGTGTACATGGCAACATCTGCATTGGAGGATTTGTTATTAGGAGATTGTAAGTGAAGTCAATGGTCTTCCATAAGGAACATCACTAAGAGGAATAAATAAAATACACCTTAGTAGTAAAAGATTGTTCTAACCTCAATTTGTGTTTTACACGAGCTATTCTGTTTGGATAGGACTAAAAGTTTTTTTTCAGATGAGCATCACAAGTGGAGGTACCATTCCAGTACCTAGCACATGTACAGCTCAAGACCTTTTTTTATTCTATTACAATCTCATCAGAGGTAATGCTTTCATGTTTTTCTGAACATATTTCTGTGCGTAGGACCTTCAGTTTTGAATACTTTTTATTAATTCTTTTTAACATGTCTTCTAGAGGAATGTGCGTGTCTTGAGAAACATGACTAATTGTTTAGTATTGAGATTTCTCATTGCCCCTTGTAATACTGGAAACAGTAACGTTTCAAGCTGCTCTTTCTCTTACACAAGTTTATCCTTATTTTGTACCATAGTTATCACGAGCAATGCTTGTTTAACATTGACAATGGCAAATGCTTAGACTTCAATTAAATTTCCATCTTGAATGGTGTTACTATTTTTAGCCCACCTAGGTTATTTGGACTGAAGAAGCAAAGGAGGTGGCATAGAAAGTTGGAAGAATGACCCTATTGTGCTCCTTTACTCAGTTCCTTTTCTCCTGAATACTTTCTTGGACTCAATTCCTTCTCTTTGTTCTCCCCTGCACCCCTTCTCTTCCCTTGTAAATCCACTTGAATGGAGGAATATTTTCTTTGTAGAACAGGAAACCATTTCCAGATTTAAAGGAGGACAGTATGGAAAACCCATGGGAACAATAGTTCTTCAGAAAAGAAACCAGAACCCTCTGTTGTTATTACTACTATTTTGTGCCAAGATTAGAATTAAATATCTTGACTTAATGGGGATTGAGCTCTCAGCTGAAGGCCTGCTCATCTGGTCTCTTATGTCACCTAGGTGCCGTCACCTAGACTCTGCTAGCTCCTCAGTCTGGGCACCTTTGTTGTCACCACTTGTGAAGACAAAACTTTAAAAAGAGATAGCTGACCCATTAATAACGTTCGTGAAGCTATGATACCCACAAAAGATGATCATATTTAGTACCACAAATAACACAACCTTGTATTAAAACTAGTGCTCCCCATTTACTGAGAATGGAAGTCTGGTTTTGTGACATTCTTTTAAAGAGAATTATTAATGAGCCAAAAAATCAGCTCTTCCATCTCTTGCATATACATTTGGGTGCTAATCTAGCTGTAGTTTTTTCGTGGCCTGTATGAGGCCATTTGTTAGCCTCACTTCATATCAGGCGGGGTACCCTATCACAAGAGCCATCGCCTCAGTTAAGCTGCTCTTTTGCATGCATGTGTCTCAGCTGAGGCTAAAGATAATACTCAGAGGAAGTCTGAAATCTGTCGTCTTCTCTGAGGGGTGGTCACGCCAAGCGGAGTGTTTTATAAGTTTGTGAAATGATGTGGAGGAGTTCGCACTGGGTCTGTGGATAAACAACGACATCCTGTCTCCAGATCTGTTAGTAAGTAGCTTTCAGAAGCACCGAAATCAATTAAAAAAATGAATCATTTGTCTGTGTTTAATATAACTTTAAAGGTTTGAAATAAAGTTGAGCTGAAATATTGTCCTTTTTAGCTAGTTACTTAGGGAACCCTCATAACAGAGATAAGTGTTGAACAAGGCACAGAACTTAGTCAGCTTTGAAGTTTTAAAGAAAAGGAAGGTTTCAAGTTTTAAATGTGACCACATGAATCATTCACAGCCCAATCCCATTTTTCTCTTCCCAGGTCTTTTGTTTTGTTTTGTTTTGTTTTTAAAGTTAGGAGCCCTCAGCATGTGTATGCCAGTGTGTTTGAGGGACATGTGTATGTATGTGTGCTGTGCTCGTCTGCCGGAATAGATTCCTAAGAAAGAGTGCTGCAGAAATCCAGCTGCTTTTCCATTAACAGCCTTGATTTCCGAATGGACTCCAGGAGGATACTTTCTTGAGCTGCCTAGGGATAACTAGGCAATCCAAACTATTTCCTTTTATATAGTTGGCTGTGTCAGGTTTCGGCCAATGGAGTATAGCCTTCTTCCTATTATCATGTTAATCACCCATTGTTATTTTAGCCTAGAAAGCCCTGCCTATGTGCAAACACATATTGCGTACAGAATTCATGGAATACGCATAACATCCATAGACTGGTGCATTTGTTATTATGGTATTACAGCATGTTCATTAACCTCCAGCAGGCTAACTTGTTGCCATTGATGACATGGGAAGTAGTTAAGAAGCTCTTGGCAGCACCTAATTTGTTCTTTCCTCAGCAGGTGCTCAAGGAAATTGGATCCCATGCGCAGAGGGGGTGACAGCAACTCCTCTGTTTAACTCAAAACTTCTGACTTATTACTGCTGTCCTAAAAATGGGATTGTGTACCTAGGTGTGGGTTGGAGGCTGTAAGAAAAAATAATGTGCATCTAGAAGTTCACAGAAAATACCCGCAAAATATTTTGCTTCAAAAGTCAGGAGGATGTTGTTTACTGAATTGGGTTTCTCAGTGCTAATGGCTTGGGGTTCTCATCCATTCCTCGGCTAACTGAGCTTGTGGCCAGTGCACGGAGATTTCACATACGTTCTGCTGCCATTCACTCTAGCTGTAAGGATATGGACCGCATGCTCACGCTCGTGCCTGGTGGCAAGTGTTGCAGTCGGAGTTATTCTCTAGGAAGAAGTAGGCACAAAGGGCCCAATTTTTCTAAATTGCACGTCAAAAGATGTCTATTTAGATAGCATATTCCCATGCAGTAAATGAGCATGCATATTAGACCAAAGCACCGTACTCCTGCTTTGGGAAATAAGAGTTTTTGCACGTGTACAAAAGCTTAGCATTCGTGTTTTGGTTTTTTCCTAACTTGCATGTCTAACTTGTCAACATGCATTTTAATTTCTACAAATGATTTCTTGGATTTTTGCCTGTCTTGTTGCACAAGTACATGCACCACTGTCAATTTGAGTGCAAACTCCATCTTCCCTATGTGAATAAATGGTTCAGGTAATTGCCTCTTCACACTATCTCCTGACTTCTGCAGCTAAGCCTCCCTGGTACGACTTTGAGACGGAGAAAATACACAACAGATTGTGCTAGGAAACAATTCTTCGTGGTAATGCAGTTTTTCCAGGATTTCTGATGGGAGACCATTACAAAATGTATTTTTTCCTTTTGTCCTTCAATTCCCCAAGTAACTACAGGTGTTTTGCCTGCTGTATTTTGAGTTTAACCAAAGATGGAATTTTTTGAGAAAGTTGATCTTTTTCTGAAAATAGAGTTACCTTTCAATGTCTTTTATTTCACTCTGCAGGAATTTTTACTCCAATGGGTTAAATGACACGAGCAATCTGATTATGGCTCAAGTACTCAATCAGATTTTCAAGTACTACCATTTGAAATTTTTTAAGTTGAAATTAAAAATTCTCCTCAAGCAGGCTGTTAATTAGAGATTGTATTTATGGTCCCAGAAAAGCCCAGCCCAACTTGGTGTCTTGTTGGGGATATATGAGCAGAAACGGCCTCAGTGGAGGAAAGATGAAGCACGTAACATGCTATATTCATGATCACACTTGCCTTATGCTACAGTGCAGTTTTCTCTAATCTCTTTTTGGTTATTAAACAGAAAAAGACCTATCAATGCATCAAGTGCCAGATGACCTTTGAGAATGAGAGAGAGATACAAATCCATGTCGCTAACCATATGATTGGTAAGACATTCTTTAAACTAGGCCACTCATCGGCTGCTTGTTTTTTGCTACTCTTTGAAATTCACTATTCTAATAACTTGTTAATATTCATGCTGTAATTTATTTTTTTTATCTTTCAAGGAAAATGATTTTGATGTAATGATTCTTCACTTCAAAGCTTTTTAAATATGTGGTTATAAAAGTGTTACTGCTGAGCTTTTTTCCTTATCCTTTTGAGCCCTCATGTAGCATTTTCATTTATATTAAAATCAAACTTTTGACAGTATCTTCCATTTGATAGCATAAATTTCTCTCTATCCATGTAAAAAGTACTTGCCAGTTGTCAACCACTTAGGAGCAATTATGTTTCAATTTTGTATGTCATGACATTGAATAGATTTAACTGCTAGCATTTTCCCAGCTAAGTGTGGTGAATTCCTGAGGAACATTGTCAAAACAAAACACTTACAGAGTTATTTCAGTGGGATTTTTTCTTCTTTTTCCAACAATTCTGGACTTCAGAAAGTTCAACTTTTCACACATCCAAATGTTTTAAAAATCAGTGCTTGCTGCCTTCTACTACAGTCCTGTCGCAAGAGTTTGTCGTAAAGTGTTATTGTAATCTGATGGGTTGTATTTCTGCTGCAGCTGTATGATTGCTTTTCTGATGAACGCAAAGAAATGTTTTTCCTGTCTGTACAGATGTTATAAATATATGTGTTGGCCCAAGAGGTCAGTTTATTTTGATGCATAGACCACAAAGGAGTTACTTACACATGCCACTGTAGGCATATGTTGGATGAGATCCTTCGAGGACCCTACAGCACACTCTGTGTGTCTCATATGTTCACATGCAGCATTTATCTCCCATAAGCATAATGGTTTCCCTTCAACAATTTTACATTTAGGAAACTATTCTCCCGTCAATGCATGTATGTAACTCCTATTATCTTTGAAGTGAATTACGCATAAATACCAGAGAAGGAGAAATACGGACTGACACAGTCTTCACACCCCCACCCCCAAATGAAAAATATACATGTCAGTCACAATAATTTTCATCCGAGAGCCAGGCAGGAGTTTGTAGTCAATGTCAAGCAGGTTAAGATGAAGATATCTAAAAATGTTTGCTTTTGTAGCAGGTGTTAATGTAATCTCTTGTTTGCAAGCTTGAAGAGTGAGATCCTTGTTAATTGGACCATAGTGATTTCATGTAGCTCCCCCTTAGATTTTTTTTTTTTTTAAGAAGCCTGAAAGAGAGAAGTCCTTAGGCAAGCTTAGCACTTGTTTCAACTTAATTTGTAATCCAGTAGCTAATAAATGATTTTTAAATACAAAGGTCATGAAGTGCTGAGTTAAGGTTCTGCTTGATTCGAAGGGGGAATTCTTTTTTCTTTTGGAAAGATGTAATTTCTTCATTTTCCAGTAACTGATGTGTGATGTATATCCCCAAATTAGTGCTGTCTGAAATAATACACGATGATATATATGACATTACAAGGTTCACTATTAGTGCTATTGGAAAGCAGCAGTGGTAGAAGGCATAGGAGGCTGAGAAAAGTGTGGTGCTGCTGTTCGTGAAAACTGTACTTATTATTTCCTTGAAGCTGTACATAAGTTACTACATATATTTGGAAGAACTCTATATAAATACAAAGGTGCATATGGACTCAGTTCCGTACACCTAGAACATTGTAAATACCAGGGCATGGTAAGAAAATGCGTGATTATTCCATTGTGGTGTCATGTCTTTGTGTTGCTTTGCTGAGATACGGACTGAGAACGTTCATTAAGTTCAAGTCATCACTTTTTTTTTTATGGTGCAGTTTAGGAAAGAGGGAAGA